AAACTAAATCATTGTTAGATTAACATGAAAGCCGGATAAAAAAGAGCACATTTAAGAAGCAAGAATAGGACTAGATACATTGAATAGGTCTTGTTGTCTAGTTAAAAGTAATATATAAAGTGAAGAATAAATCACAATGTTGAATTGCCGTTAATATTAATGCGATATATATAGAAAATAATTATTTTACGAAATAAAATGTCAAAAAAACATTCCCAAAATTGGAAAAGGTGTACTAAATCGACTAAAATTAAAATCTAAATAGCATATACTCAAAATACTCTAATTGAATCTAAATCACTAATTGAGACATTTAAGAGACTGCAACTTTACAGCCGAATATAAGGACATCTTAAGAAAAATGATCAAAATTAAACTAACTCCACTAGATAATGCAATATATATATTGTAAAATTTGACCGACTTTTAACTTGGAGACTCGATGTATAGCTAGTTCCGGAGGCGCCCCAATAGGAATACCTCGAAGCAGAATGCACAACGGAGACTTGTCCGATAAAATTGATTGTTCCTTGCCATCAGCACAATGGCCTGAAGATAATTCGTCGAGGCCGTTATCTGCGGGAAATTCGGTTTTCTGGACGATTCCAGCAGCTTTCAGACCAGAGGCAAAATGAAAGAGAGCCGAATTGGCCAACTCAGCGAGGTTCTGGTCACTTAAAGCCCCACTGCCTTTGCCACACCCGTATCCGCTGCCAACGCACCCATGAAAGCCTCCCGATGCATTTCCACTGTTGCGTATAGTCATACGGAAGCCACATTCTAGAGCGAGAACACGATTCCGATTGGCTGCGAGCGCAGCTTCAAGTGCTGTGGTGAGCATTGTGCCAAAAGGCAAGTGGCTGGTTTGCGTAGAAGCAAAGTTTTTAAGAGTGAGATCGAAGATACGAACAACCCGGCTGAATGGAACATTTGATAATTGGATGAGACGAGCGAGGCCATCTTCTACAGTCTGTGGATGAGAAAAATATTTTTAAATAGAAAAATGAATAGATTTCATTATCAAATTGGCATATATGTTAACCAAACAGGTATAAACGATCCTGAAATCTCTTGGATTCTATTCCAGCCGAAAGTTAGCAGGATAAGAGGCTAAGTTTTTAGATGCAGAGAATTAAATACGAATAACCTATGAAGGATGTTGAGATGGCTGATAAGAAAATAAAGCAATGTCAAAAGGAATGGCTCTGCTGATCAAAATAGCTAAGCTAAATGGAATTTAAAATGAAACAAAAATAATCCAATTACCAAAATACATAAAACCAGAATACAAATGAGCCATAACAAGCTAATAACCAGGTAGAAAAGAGAGAAATTTCGTACAATTTAGCCGTGAAAAAATTGATTAAAAAGTTTAAATATTGAAAAATTGCGATTTCTTAGGAGTCATTAAAATTATCGCAGCTCGAGTGGAGTAAAATGCAAAGTAAGGAATCGACTTCAGACACCTTATGCAACACATAAAGTAATCAATTAGAGATCTGGCATGTTACGAGATCTGAGAAATATACACTTTCATAAAACTTTAAGGATTAAATAATTTAAATAAAAATCTTGCGATAAAAAGTTTTTATTTTTATGAAAAGTATATAGGAAAATAGAAACAAATAGGCAAGGACATACCAATGGAGTAAAAAGCGGCATCATTTGGGGTGGATATGGAATTTGAGTCATCCAAGCTTCCTCACCAGAGCGTAAAATTTCTTCTTCTCCATCAAGCAGCTCCTGGTAGCAATTCGAGTCAAATGTCCCTCGAGGAGCTAGCTCATCAGAAAAGTCACGAGTGCTTTTGTTAGGGGCATCCCAACTTAGAAGATTCAACTGGAGAACGTGAAATTAAGCAAACAAATGGCTTATTAATAGTTAATAAGCAGGGGCAGAATGCTTTTACATAGAAAAATGGTGAAATATCGATTGAATTTGAATCGTTTTAAGCAAAAGGATACAAAGATTCGTTATATCTGTACAAATACATAGTGATCGATTGACGGAAACTAACTTTAATTATGGGTAATGAAGTTGCTAAAGCACCCAATCAAATTTTACTTATTACATACGAATGAATAGATATTAAAGCTATTGAAAATAAAGTAAAGTTCCCCCCCAAATCAAATGTGAAACCTAGGCCTCTTTTGGTATAATCAAACGTATAAAGATCCAATTGGAATGGCATTTATTTTGGTCGCAGTATCATTTCGCTGTATAGAAATGATTCAAATTCATGTACTTAATTCTGTTATGTTGTCAGAAAAAAATAGACTTTTTACGAAGTCATCTGTCATACTAATAATGATAATGTCGAGCGTAGAGCCATGGATAAATTATTCAGCGGAAGATGTATTACACTTCAGTAGAATCGCTTGAAAAAGTACAATTATAGAAGAGATTGGTATAAACAAGTTAAAAGTTGTGGTAGAGTGATACGAGAATAGGAAATAGATAGATCTACCAACATAAAAGTGATATAATAATAGTTATTTCTCCTTTACGAGTTGTAGCTTGGCGCTAAGAATGGCAGGACCCAGCAATGGTGCCGAAAACTAAACAAGTGGAAGATAAACACTTATCTTTAACAAGATGCCAGGCATCCGAATGAATATAGTTTGTCTAAAATGCATAAAGATGGAGTCCCATTTAAAATTATTGTGAAAGATGGGGGTAACGTCGCCAATTAAAGCAAATCTCCGACGTGGCAGATTTCAGTTAAGAATTTAAATGAATTCTTTCATCTTTTAGACGAGCAGAATATAGCAAGTGAGGATTTGCTGGTAAGTTATGATGTTGAGTCTATGTAGGCAATGCTACACAAACTCTGAAATTAACATTAGACCAGCAACAGGAGATTTTGGGGAGCACTAAGTTAAGTAGTGTCAATAGTGATACTGACCAATCTGGCGATGCAATGTAAATATTCTACCTTTGATGGTAACCTGTACGAACGAACACGAGACAGCTATAGGATCGTGTTTGTCACCTATTTTAGCAAATAATTACATTGCTACGTTTGAGGAACGCCTAAGTTAAGAGGAACATGTAGTCCCTAGCTCACTATATAGACGACTACTTTGCCGTTTAGCAAAGGAAATCTGGAGAATTTTTCTGGTTTGATGAATCGGATAGATGGGAAGACAAGATTCACCATCGAGTTAGAAAAGGAAGGTGGCTTGCCTTTTCTTGATTTCCTAGTTAGCAGGAATTAGATTAGACAAAGATGCGTATAGGAAATCCGCAGACACATGTTTCATTTTGAATTTCTTTTCCAACTACACATATAGAGTTAAAGTCATAAAATCTATGATAATACGGAGCCTGCGTCTGTCATTGTTAATCATCGGGACCAAGAATTAATAAGACTAAGGAGAATTCAAGAGAATTATAGCAGATCAAAGAAAGCAATCGTAAGACAATCTTGTCATATGACCTTTCTTAGCTGTTGTAGGCATAATGAAACCCCTTCTGGTTTTCACACTTTGATGAGAAAATATCATATTAAGCTTCTTTGAAAAAATTAGAGTAGACTAAAACTTTTTAATAAAAACGTGCATGTCGAATGTGATTGGAAGGCATTCTGTGGATATGCTAACTAAATTTCTGGCTATCGGTTTTACAACGTAAAGTAGTTTATATATTAAAGGAAATAGGATGTGCCCTTATTTGTGTCAGCAAAAAGCAAAGCCAAAGTATTTAAGTTACCATGAGGAGAGTATCAAGAGTGGAGAGCAGATAGAAATCTTGACTAAGAATTCGAAAATAGCAGCAATGAGTCAGTCTAATTTGGTTCGCGTGGTCAAGTTGAAACTTGCCTTAGTTCATAAAATTATAGGGAAATATGAAGTGGATTTACATAGGCATGGTTACTGGAGTGTTTCCACTAAGTATATACTAAATACCAAATCTGCCATTTATACTGACATAAATTCTGCAACATTTAACATTGAAATCACAAAAGAAACCAAATAACTAGGATAAAAGAGTTCGCAGCTTGCATACCTTTGGCTCATGACGATTCGCCACAGATGTTTTATTTAAATCAATAAGAAAGGCCGGAATGAGCCAGTCTGGCCGAGCTTCAGACGCGATATGTCTGTCCAATACAGCTTTGGGCAACCTGTTTATCTGACTCAGATCGGATTCAGAACTACCTGGCCAACGTATGAGTATAAGGCGGCCTGGGCATAAAAATTGTTCTGTCAGGAGGCTACTCGACACACTAGCCAGAAGATCAGAGCGTTCACGGAGTAGTTGTAAATACGTACAGCAGGCCTAAGGAAATTTTTTTTGAATATGAAAAAAATGTATCAAAAAAAATTCTACGTTAAATAATAAAGGAAATGCTATATCGAGTAGTGTCACAAAGTAGTTATACACATAGAAATATACATACACGTTAATACAAAATGCACAAGAAAATAAACAATTGTGGACGTCAATAATGATATGATGGTAAATGAAATTTTTTAGGTTAATTATGGAAAATCACCACAATATATCTACGCAATTCTTTCAATGTATCGGATCCTAGTAGGCTAACAGGATAATCCGATTAAAACTAAAGGTTAACAATGAACAAATAAAAAATAAGTCCTAAAAACTAAGATGATACACAATTTTTAGTTATGTGAAGACATTGGTCTAACTCTGATTAATATGGTATATTTACCTGGTAATAAGTATTGACGTCCTCGATACAAAGTATTCCACCACCCGGGCACTTGGTCTGAAACATAATTTCACCAGGAGCCGTAACACCAACTGAAGAATAAGTATTTTTAGCCAAAGCAACATGATTATTGCTAGGAATGTTTTTACTCGTCGATGGCATGGCTACACATGCCCCTCCGGCAGCATCAGACGCCACATTAGAGTTAGGGGCCACCGCGAGCGCAAAGGTATGTAGAGGCGTTGTGACATTATCGTTTAGCGTTCGGTTCAAACGTTTTAACCAAAGTCGCATTTGTTCTTCGTTGCGAAGAACACTCACCTCCTTGAAGCTTCGACGCATCACAT